AACTAAGAAGGTGATAGGTTTGCAAATATATTGTAAGATGTATGACAATAAGGGTGAAACTAATGTAAAGCTCATTGACAATGACAGTGTTATATGTGAGATGGTTGGCTGCATAACAAGTAACAGAGTGTTAGTGTTATACTATACTGACAAAAAAACAAGTGAAAAGACATGGACTCAAACATCTGTGGAATGGCCTAGTTTGCAGAGTGAAGAATACAACATGGACTTATCATCTCAACCTCAAGCCCAAGCTCCAACTCCCCAAGCCCAAGCCCAAGGCCAAGGCCAAACTAAAGCCTTTTCTGCAAATATTCAAGGAAGGCCACTACTTGGACCAAATCAAATGGCCCAAGTGATATTTGAAGATAGTTTGATATTCACATGTTCTTATGTCATTTGAATAACCTCAATCACACATGTGAAAATTTGCTTGTAGGTGGCAGTAACTAGGGGCTTATGTGAAAGGTTGCTCTACTATTTCACGTGCATTTGTATGCCTTAATTTGAAGAAGTCTTCTATGCAGATTGAGGTCAATGAATCTGGAATTACAAGCTTGCAAATAACCAAAGTCTTCAAATTCCATAAGCCTTTTGCATACCTAATAACATTACAAGATTGCATAACTAATTTCAGGAATTACATTAGCTCCAAAATGGTTTTCACTGCCCTTACTCCCATACATTTTGCAGACATGTTCGACACCACCATCATCATCATCACAATGACCGTAAATAAAACACAAGCGCCCATACTCATCCTATATTCTCTTTGTCGATGCCTCATCATATTGTCTTCCAGTAAAAGTCTAAGCCTTCTGTTGTCTCTGACTGCATAATCCAACTCCTTCTTATTTTCTTCAATTATGCCCTCCATTTCCAAGTTTTGAGCTTCTAAGGATTGAAGTGTGTTGACCACAACATTTTTTCTCTCTTATGTCTCCCTCATTTCAGTCTCCATCATTCTTATTCTTCTAAGCAGACTACGCACCACATTCTTCCCTCTTGTACATGTATCCTTGTCCAACCACCTAAAATAATGCTCTCCAACTTTGTTTTTCTGCTTCATTATTATCAAGTTCTTCATCAGTACAAAATCTGAACATAATACCAATTTTGTGCATAAACCCAAAATCAAAATTTGTTTACCTGGTTGTTGTCACAAGCCTCAAAGCGTCTTCTTGGATTCGTGTCTGTCCATGAAGTCCTCGATTTGATCAAACTCCCACAATGACAATAGTTCACCGATTTGGGGCTTTGGTTAGATTCCATTGATGATGTTTGAGACATATCACTTGCCATCCTTTTGAACTAATATGCTCTCCAAGCTTCCAAATTTGACGATTCCAACTTTTACTCAACCAATATCAGAGGGAAGGCCAGATGCAGAAGCGGATTGGAATTTTTGGTTCTTTAGGTTTTTGGCGCCTCTGCTAAGTCTATTTCAGAGAGAAGGTGAGTTGCAAAAGGGGGATAATAGGGGTGGGCATAAAAACCGATAAACCGAATGAACCGACCGATCCAAACCAAACCGAACCGAAAAATGGAGTTTTTTTGACCAAACTGAAAAAGTCAACACTGGACCTGACCCGAACCGAAGTCAACGGTTCGGTCCTCGGTTCAAAAAAATTTGGAACCGGTGAACCTGACCCGAACCGAGCATTAATTAATAATATATAAATATACCACGTGGCTTCTGTTTATTGGGTAAAAGAAGAGTTTACCTTGAGGATGCTCGCACTAGATCACAACCACAACTAAACCTAGCGCCTTCCACAACATTTTTTCTCTCTTATGTCTCCCTCATTTCAGTCTCCATCATTCTTATTCTTCTAAGCAGACTACGCACCACATTCTTCCCTCTTGTACATGTATCCTTGTCCAACCACCTAAAATAATGCTCTCCAACTTTGTTTTTCTGCTTCATTATTATCAAGTTCTTCATCAGTACAAAATCTGAACATAATACCAATTTTGTGCATAAACCCAAAATCAAAATTTGTTTACCTGGTTGTTGTCACAAGCCTCAAAGCGTCTTCTTGGATTCGTGTCTGTCCATGAAGTCCTCGATTTGATCAAACTCCCACAATGACAATAGTTCACCGATTTGGGGCTTTGGTTAGATTCCATTGATGATGTTTGAGACATATCACTTGCCATCCTTTTGAACTAATATGCTCTCCAAGCTTCCAAATTTGACGATTCCAACTTTTACTCAACCAATATCAGAGGGAAGGCCAGATGCAGAAGCGGATTGGAATTTTTGGTTCTTTAGGTTTTTGGCGCCTCTGCTAAGTCTATTTCAGAGAAAAGGTGAGTTGCAAAAGGGGGATAATAAAACCAACCTGAAAAGACCCATCTACCCCTAATTTTAACGAAAAACTTGACAGAAGTCACGGTGGGACTAGTTGTCCAAACGAAACTAAAGTTAAAGGACCTCGGGTACCATTTTGGAAATTAAGGTACTCAAATGCAAATTCGGTCCAAGTTGGGGGACTAATAAAACAATTAACCCAAATGACAAAAGACTCGAAAGGATTAACAATTTTGAATAAAACATGTCCATAAATTACACCAGGATTAAATTGTGTTCTTAAAACCAATTTATTAAGGGATTGTATAGTGCATTTTGTCTTATTAGTAACAATATATATTTTATAACAAAAGCCATTCTTCATTTTCCCCTCTAACAACTTGTTCCACAAAGAGCCATACTTGATTTATATAACAAATTACTACAGGGTGTTTAATTTTCTTTCATTAATTACTCTAGATTTTCTAAGTCACAGAGTTTGTCAACTCGCAATATAATCAACTTAAATCACTCAAACCTACTATGCAATGCATTTCCTTCCAATCTCTCGAAGTGACTAGTAGCCAGTTATCTGATGCGGCCATTCAAAATCTCTCGAAGTTGTTTCTCAGGTTCCCCTACTTTATTCAAAATCTCTTGCTCTAAAACAAAAACATTATTGAAAGCAGTAGAAAAAGTCATGTGCTGATGAAATGGTAACTTGGTTGCAGTGAGAAGGAAGAGTACCTGGACGATGTGGCTGCAGCCAAAATTGATAACATAACCGTTGAGATGCAATGGACCGGGCAGACCGGACCGGCTTGGCCACCCAGACCGCTCGTTTCTTCTGATGACCCAGTTAAAAGAATTATAGATGGGTTCAAGTACTTCAAGACCAACTTTTTCGAGTAAGATGACATTATTTTGTTGTTGTTCTTGCTGCTGCTGCTATTAGATAGATTTGGGTCTCTCTTAACTATTTTTGAAACTTTTATTCCTTTCAAATGCAAAATGTTTAATAAATTAGTAATGCAAGCAAATAATATTTTCATTTTTGGGGCACCCTTTACAGCACACATCCACATTTGGTAAAGAAGCTGGCCCAAGAACAAACGCCCAAGGTATATTAATATTAGCCCTAATCAAACTTTATTTTATTTCTAAGAGTTATTTACACTGACAACCATTGAGATTTTCGGTGTTTTCATAAAACTATTGAGGTTTCAAAAACTACACAAATATTCATGAGGTTTCAAATTGTTTTCACAAAACTCATTTCCGTTGATTGTTCATCCAAAAAAATAATAATTTTCATAAATAAAAACTTATGTAAAAATGACAAAATTAACCTCAATGTATGTGCAATCATAAAGCTCTAACTCTATGATATTTTTATTCTAACTTTCTTTTGCTAAACTCCAATGCGCAGTTTATGGTATTTGCATGCTCAGACTCCCGAGTGTGCCCCTCGCATATCCTTCATTTCCAACCTGGGGAAGCCTTCATGGTTCGCAATATCACTAACATGGTTCCTGCCTTTGACCAGGTTTAATTAATACTCTAATCAAATTTAAAAAATCTAATCCTTGTTAATTAAATTAACGCTTGCTAATATTTGTTGTTCTTGTTTGCTTCACAGCTGAAACACTCAGGAGTTGGAGCAACCATAGAATATGCTATTGAAGAACTAGGGGTAAAACATTTCAAATATATATTTTTTTTTTAAATCAAATTTGAGTTTTGTTAATTACATATTAATACTACTGTTTATCAAATTTATTGATGCTAATTAACAAGGAGAGACAATTTTACAGGTAGAAAATATTTTGGTTATGGGACATAGTCGTTGTGGCGGGATCAAGAGGCTGATGTCTCATCCAGAAAATGGTTCTACTCCCTTGTAAGTTTTCTGACATACAAAAGTTGTAGCTTAAAACCTAAACATACTTTTGATTAGCTCAGATTAAGAATCAAACAAGTGGCGAAATTCGACAACTAAAATCATTAAGATATGCTAATGATTTCGCTTCCATTGGATTGAAATTTGCAGTGACTTTATAGATGAATGGATGAAAATTGGTTTACCTGCCAAGGCTAAGGTCATAGCAGAAGCAGAGGGTGGAAGTGCAGATTTTGAAGAACAATGTGAAAGTTGTGCAAGGGTAAGCCAAAGCACCCCCAACCCCAAATGAAATTCATAATTAAATCTTACTCAACATGATCTTCTTATAGTAATTAAATTAATAAATTAATGTTTATGCAGGAAGCAGTAAATTTGTCACTGAGAAACCTACAAACTTACCCATATGTTCAGAAGGCAGTCTCAGACAAAACCCTAGCACTGAGGGGTGGCTACTATGACTTTGTCAATGGAATTTTTGAGCTTTGGGAGCTTCAGTCCCACCATTTCAGACCCAATCATCGTTCAATCTTCTTAACTGCATGCTTCTGGGAGCTCTGTGAATAAGTGATAACAAATAAAGCACAGGACCTCCATTCATTCTTTATATGTACCTTCTTTGTTTTTTATAATAATTTTTTCAATTTTTTATTTAATTGTAATTTTTGTCAATTTTCTATTAGAAAAGTTTGGTAATAAGAATTCCCTTTATGTTGATATCTTGTAGTATTTGTTTGCCACGCTTCTGTCATGTCATGACCTTCCCACTATCAAGATATCAACCATAGCCATACTTTCCTTCTTGATGATCAAAATTTGTGGTTTTGCTGCTATATATTGTTTGTGAAGCAACTTGGTAAGTAGATGTTGATAAGCATCTTATCTTTCTGTTTCATTGTCCACAGATAAATATAAATTTCACAATGATTCTTTTATCAATGGCAACAAAGCAGGATCGACTTCGTCTTTGCACAATAAATTTACTACCAATTCCATTGTTGATGCATCCGCAGAGAAACCCTTGTCCACCATTTGTCGAATAAGTACCATCGCCCTTGATGTCTCATTGTTATTGATGAGCCCTCGGATAATCGTGTTATAGGTCCGATCACTTGGAGAGCACCCTTTCTCTTCCATTTCAATAAGCAACTCTTCTGCTTCACTTGTTAGGCCACCCAGACAGAGTCCATTAATCATTACATTGTATGTCACTACATCAGGTTGAAGTCCTTTTGATGATAAACCACAAAAGAGATCCCTTGCAGATTCAATTTTTCCAGCTATGCACAAACCATTAATAAGAATGCTGTAAACCTTAATATCAATATCCAACTTCTTGCCTTCCATTTCTTGAAACAATTGCATCGCTTTAGAAAGTTGTCGGTTTTTACACAGGCCATCCAGTAGAACAGCATAAGTTATAACATCTGGAAGTTGGCCAGAAGTCTGCATCTCATAGAACACATTTTGTGCATCCTGTATTCTACCCACTTTGCAAAAACCGTCCACAATAATGTTACAAATAATGTTATCTTGAACCAGTCCCTTACGAGACATATCTAGAAAAAGCATCCTGGCCTCATCGATTTTTTTCTGGTTACAGTATCCATTTATCAGTATGCCATAACTAAAACCATTAACCATGGACCCCTTGCTAAGCATTAGTTCAAAAACCTTTTTTGCCTTGTCCATTTCTCCTTGCAAACAGTAACCATTCATAAGTGAACTGTACCTAACCACATTAGGTTCCATATCTCTTTGAATCATCATTTCGACCATGCCTTCTGCTTCCACAACCATGCCCTCCTTGCAAAGTGTGTCTACCACGACAGTGAAGGTGTGCACATTTGGAAAAATATTTTTACTCACCATTTCATTCAACAACCTTGTAGCTTCTTTCCACTTGCCTAATTTGCAAGCTCCCTGAATCAACGATGTATAGGTCCTGACGTCTGGAGCAATACCCTTGCTCATCATTTCTGATAAGAGGTTCAATGCATCAACAAGTAGTGTATCTTTACAAAGACTGTCTATAATCGTGTTATAGACAATACGGTCAGGCTTGAAAGCTCGTTCCTCCATTTTCCTTAGCAACTGAATAGCAGCACCATTGTTGCCTTTCATGCAAAGGCCTTTGACTAGTGTGCCGAAAGTAATAGCACTAGGCTGACAATTACCTGCCTTGATCATTTTATTGAAAATTCCTGCTGCCTCAACCACTCTATTCTCGAGAAGAAAGCCGTTGATTAGAGTGTTGACGGTAGGGGCATTTGGTTCAAAACCAAGTTTGAAGAATTTTCCCAAGACAGAAAAACTAGACCCCATTTGGTTCAAATGACAAAAGCAATTAATGAGAATGTTCAGAACATAAACATCAGGTACCATTCCCGACACAGCCATTTGGTTATACGACGAGATGACCGTCGAATACTGTTTCAATCTCGCAACTAGGCACAAGACTTGAGTGAAACGAAAAAGTGAAGGCAGGGGACGCAAATGAAGCATTCTATCAAACACATTGAGAGCATCCTCAACATTTGTGATTTTGGGAAAGTCTTTCGCTAGCTGGTCTAGTTGGGTTCTTCTAGAATTTTTTGCTTTAGAAGCTTGAGAGCGAGAGAAGAAAGCAAAGTAATTGTTGACGAAAACAACAGTGGGGTTAGGGTGAAGACACGGCATACCTCTGCTGCTGCTGCTGCAATAAGAAGAAGAAGCAGCATTTGTTCGCATTATCATCTTCAGCATCTCTGTGAGTCAATGAGTCTCAGCCAACCTTCAAAGATAGCAGCAAAGATTACTGGGGAAGGAAAGCTCAACTCTCTTTTCTTCTTTGATGAATTGAAAAATGCCCAGGCACTCTCTCCAATAATAGCAGAGTTGGAAGAAAAACTTGAGAGTGAACAGCGGCCAATATATACGTGCTCTGCTTGCCGCCCTCTGTGTGATTTATATGTCTTTTTGAACTTTTGATATGCTTGGGCGTTTCTTTCTTGGGATTTATAAAGAACCGCAAATTGGTAATTTGCAAAGGGATCATGTGAAATTAATTACTTTGCAAGAAAATTAGACTACTAATAAATGCATTAGTTTAGTTTAATAAACAAGAAAAATCAACCAGTTGTTTTGATTTTGATATAATTTTATCGGTATTTCAAAAGTGGGATATGGCTCAGTTGGTTAGGCTCTTTCACCTCCACTAATGTGGGTAGAGGTTCGAAACTCTCAGGCATCCAATGAATATTTGTGTATTTATATTGAGATTTTCTATTTAAACCCCACACTTCTCTTAGTTCACCCAATATTCTAAGTTCACCCCATCTTTTAATTTAAATTTTCACAATTTCTAAGAAAACCCCACTATCTTCCCAAACTACCCTTAAATACACCCCAAACTGAAAAAATAAGAAATAAAAGAGATTTTCTATTTAAACCCCACAATTTTCTTTGTTTCCGGCAAAAAATAAACACAAACAAATAGAACCATAAACCCTAAATTTAATACTTTCTAGAGAAAGAGAACAACTTTACATTTCTCCAAGAACTGTAACTGGAATTCCAACACTTGGGTATTGTTGAGTTGATAATCAACAAGCCTTTCCATCAACTCCCACGCATATTTAAAGAGATGGGCTCGTCAATTTTCTATGTCTTTAAAAGAGAAGTGTAATCTGGCAAGAGTTTGTATTTTTCTAAAACTTGATATGAAGAGTGGTGAGGTGTGTGGTGTGTGTATATAGGGTTAATTATTAAGTTGGATGACCTTTTTTGTTTTTTTACACAATGACAATAATAAAACTTATAGCTTAATGATTTAAGTATTAGGGTGAACAAAAAGAAGTGCGGGGTTTAAATAGAAAATCTCTTTATATTCTAATAGCATTTCCAGGAAAGTCTCTAAATAGCAAGTCTACCGAAGCTGTATTTTGCCTTCATTCTCTTCAAATGGTCTCTTTATAAATTATAAATATATCATAAGGGGCTTTTACTTCAAATAATTAACTCCGAAGTTCCAGATTTGATTTTCCCTTATCCCACATTTCAAAATTTAAACGGTACTCCAGATGCAAAATAAAATTGGGCACCCCAAAAAACGCAACTCTTTTATATTTATTACTTTGATATACCCCACAAAAGAATGCAAGAGGTGAAATTTGGAAGAGAATCTAAAAATCTTATTATTAAAAATGTTGATGGTTATCAAATTCAAAAGGGAAGTAAAAAATTGGATGCTCTTTTCTTTTCTCACAAAGGTAGAGACAGTTCAGAGCAGCGGCTTTGTGGATGCTGCTGCTGCTTATCCACTTACGTACCCAACGTTTTTGTCGTGACTGTCCACCTCGAAGTAACCGCATGCACTCTGCTCCCTCTGGGGCCTCTCTCCCAATAAAACGACACCGCTTTGTCTGTCAAAGTACGTACTCTATGTCAAGTGCAAAACTCACTCCACATCGACATTTCTTTATAAATTAAGATGCCAAAGTTCCAATAACATCATCACTGTCATCATCAATTTTAATTCCTCCCCCATGTTATCTAAATCCCAAATAAATGATAAATAACAATTTTGTCTTTCAAGATTAGTGGGAAAGTATAAGTAATTTGCAATTAGCAATCGAAGATAGAATAATTGCGTTTATTAGCTTGCAATTGCATTTATTTAAGTATCTCCTGTTTGGCAATTATATGTTACTTAGAACAAGTTCAAATTTCTTTAAGTCTTCATATTTTATGCATCATTATGCCAGTCCAAGTTGTTTTATAAGTTTAGGCGATTACAAATTTATGAATTGGGGTGAATTATGAGTTCTAATTAACAAGAAAAACTGTGTAAATTAGGACCCGAAATCTGGTAGCACGTGTTATTGGATGTCGACCAACAATTATTTTCTTTGATAATATAGAGAAAATATAGGAAAGTGATGATGATGTCGACAAGAGAAAAGAAAAGAAAAGTGTTATTGAATCTGAGTTCCAATAATCATGAGTTTTTGAGAATTGTGGTATTTGAATGTCGACCAACAATAATTTTCTTCGATAATATAGAGAAATATATGTTGATAGGAATCATGCTAGGATGAACTCTATTTGTATATCAAATGCTCACTGTCGCAGTGATTATGCCGGGGGGACTGTTTACAAAAAATATAGCTCACCGTAAGTCAGATTCCACCCATTCCAAAGCGAAGAAATGTTTGAGTTCTATTAGCAAATTGCTCGTGCATTAGTAGCCGTTTATTCACTGACACTCACTTGCATTAATGGTTGACAGTTATTTGTAAAAAATATATATTTTTAATCACAAATTAAAGGAGGAGTTCTATTAGCAAATTGCTCGTGCATTAGTAGCCGTTTATTCACTGACACTCACTTGCATTAATGGTTGACAGTTATTTGAAAAAAATATATTTTTAATCACAAATTAAAGGATATTTTAATTGCCTTTACACTTGGCAAAGTTCCATTTCACCCCTCTCCTCTTTCATATCCTTTCTAGATGCGAACTCAAATTTGAAAACCTACTGTGTGTTTGTATTCTAGGCAAATTGCGGGATCCTGTCTCTAGCGTATGTATGTATACCTGGCTATAAGTGCAAAATCCAAAAAGCATGCTTATGCTTTTTTTTTTCACGTAAAGCCACACCCACACCTACTGTCTGACACACTGAACCCAAGGGCAATTCCGTCTTTTCGACTCCCTCTTCCACAGCCCATAGGTGTATCTTCCTCTATAAAACCCAGGTAAAACCCTTCCCTTCTAACACACATTCATTCACAAGCAAAAAACAATGGCTTCCTCTTACCACAACAACTCCCTCGCTCTCCTCCTCACCACATTCCTGATCCTCTGCTCTCTCACCCACGCCACTTCCCCTGCACCCTTTTTGACTCTGGTCAACAACTGCCCCTTCCCCCTCTGGCCCGGCATCCAGCCCAACTCCGGCCACCCCGTCCTCGAGCGCGGCGGCTTCTACCTCCCTGCCCTCTCCCACCGCTCCTTCCCCACCCCGACCCAGCCCTGGTCGGGTCGGATCTGGGCTCGCACCCACTGCACCCATACCCAAAACCACTTCTCCTGCCTCACCGGCGACTGCGGTGGCCGCCTCGAGTGCAACGGAGCAGGAGGTGCCGCCCCCGCTACGCTGGCGCAGGTCAGTCTCCACCACGGGCCCAACGACCTCTTCTCGTACGGCGTCAGCCTGGTCGACGGCTTCAACGTCCCCTTGACCATCACCCCGCACGAGGGCCACGGAGTGTGCCCCGTGGTCGGCTGCAAGGCCGATCTTCTCGCCACGTGTCCCGAGAGGCTGAGGGTGACGTCACACGCCGGTGTAGTGGCGTGCAAGAGCGCCTGCGAGGCGTTCCGTTCGGACGAGCTGTGCTGTCGGAACCACTACAACAGCCCGCAGACGTGTCGGGCGTCGAGTTACTCGGAGTTTTTCAAGCGCGCGTGTCCTGCCACGTTTACTTTTGCTCACGATAGCCCCACGCTCATGCACCAGTGCTCGTCGCCACACGAGCTCAAGGTCATCTTCTGTCACTAGAGAGAGAGAGAGAGAGATGGTTCCACTTCAACGTGTTGTTGTCTTGGTTCTGGGTTGGTTTGAATATGCAAATAAATTAAGTTTAGGGGTTTAAGTTAGTGATGTAGTTTTTTGTTTGTTATGGTTGTGTAATTTGTGTGATGTTTGGGGCTGGTTATGCAATGAATATGCAATTAGTGTTGTGTTGGTACAGAAAAGGAAGTACATTCTCATGAAAACACTTGTCTTTTTTGCGTGAAGAAATACAGAATTAAATATATTTTGCTATTGCTTTTTCTTACTAGCTATTGCCTATTATTAAAATCTATCCAAATCTCAAATCAAACAACAACAAGAATTAACAACTTTTACTTAAAAGTATGGCAGATAAAGAAAACTTTGTTGCTCCGCGGTGTTATTGTCTCAATCTACTACGAATAAAATCAATGAAATCGGGATATTAATAAATATCCACTTATATTATAACAAGTGTTGAAATAATGGAGTTTCGTAAAGACAGCGATAAGAAGCAAATCCAGATTTATAAAAAACTGAGCAAAGTAAAAGAAAGTAGAGACAGAAGTGATTTTGCGTATAAAAAGAAAAGAAGTGGGACTAGTACATGCACTATTAAAAGGAAAGCGAATCTCTGAGGAATATCTGATGGGAGCAGGAGGGAGGCAGGCATGATGCATCCATCGTTGGACAGAAGAAATGAGAGGAAGAAAATGCATTGTCAGCCACACAAATCTTTTTGCTTCTTTTTTCTCGAAAATTCCCATTTATTATTTTTTCTTCTTTTTACATGCAATCATGTATCACTGTGCTGTCACGTGTGAATGTGTGTAACCTTTTGCTTTATTCGACTGCCATTCTTTCTCTCCACCTTTACCTTGTTTCCTGCCGGTTTCAACTTTTGAACCTTTGAGAAAGAAGAAAGTTGAAGAATCCGGAGGATTCACTGGGCTCAATCTAAAGCTGGGTTTGTTGCTACCTATATGGGCCTTTCATGAGATGAGACATTCAAACTGTTGATTTTGACATTCCAGTATTCTCAATTATTTGACCTCATAAATGAATGATATGGACTTGTGATTGGATAATGTTGACCCAATACCTTGCTTCAACGACTAAAATGTGAATTTGGACTAGTCCAAACATACGTGGGGTCTAAGCAATGAAAAAACTTACCTGTAAATCAAGGTGGTTGGTGTGAGTGGTTCGGCACTCTTATTCCTTAAGAGAGATCAGGGGTTCGATCCCTGCTCTTGTACGGAGTCACCACTTTGGCTAGCACTTTACCCCTTACGGGCCGACCCGGTGTGAGCGGGGATTAGTCTGGGTTGTGGTTAAGGCTTAAAGGTGCCACCCATAGTTGGGGCCCATCCAGGACCACCTCGTGGTTCAGACCCAAAAAAACAAAAAAAACTTACCTGTAATGGGGATTGCACTGTTTTGCTAGTTCGGCCAATAACATATTGACATGTGAAAAAATTATTCCACAATAATATATCAGTTGGGGATAGCAAAAAATTATACACTTGTTGCATGAGAGTTTCTCTCCTAAGCAATAACGGTCCAAAGTTTGAATAACTTCACGTTGGGTTGGAAGTGTAGAGAAATACAACTAGATTATAGTTTGGTAGGTTATATATACTTAAAATCCTTTCTTTTTTTTGTTAAGTATAATTGTCTATATAGTTAACAAGTATAAATGAATTCCTTTTCAACTATTTACATATTCATCACGCACACCTCTTATTTAAAGTTAAAGTAAAAAATTTAGTTGATTTTGGCTGGAGCTATTTATTTGAAGTTTAGTAAGCATCAATTTTTTGTTGTAAGTTTTTATTTTTATTTTTTTGGGGTGGGGTATAAAGCTTAAGAATCAAGAGTCGAGATAATTCTATAATTAATTGGATTCTTTCAAGGCTTGATCTTAACGAACGCTGACAACTGTTTCGAGCACTGGTATTGTCCAAGTGTATGTTACTCTCATAAAAATATATTATCAGTAATAGTTGTGAAAAAGGAATCTCTCAATGGGCGTGAGAGGCTAATATTTTTCAATTTGAATATACAAGAAAATCGTGGAATAAAAAGAAAGTACTATTATTAAGAAAACTTTTGAAATTAATTAACATAAGTCTTATGGCACAATTAAAAAAGGATCTGATTTTCCCACTCCCAATTTCTCCACTTACACTCTCTTTTACTTTTTAAGAGAAATTATAGAATGGTACGGTATCACCATGTCAGCGGGTGATACTTCCATTTAGAATTTGCCACGTGTTTTTTTTAAAAGAAAATTTATACTTTGTTTTCAGCTAGACATTGGGTTCCAATTTTACCCTTCATAAAAATTAAAAGAGAAAAAAAACTGTGTCACAGCCTCCCACCTCCGTCCAGTTCACAGTCCCCCTCTGCAGCGCCCTCCCTCCCTGTTTGTATTCCTTTCCCCAATCCTTCAATCTCCTCATCTAGGTTGCCTACATCTCCCTCAAAAACTCCAGATCCAAGTTCTCTTTATCCAACTTTGCTCTCAATCCGCATGGCCTTGACAAGGAATGATCCAATAAACGCCAACTATTAAATAAAGTGATTCAGAGATAGAGAGAGAGAGAGAGATGAAGGAAAAGAAGGGGAGGGGGTGGCAGCAAGGGGGTATAGGACTGCACTGCAGTCGTCTTCTTTCTCTTTTTGTTTTACTTTTATTCAAAAGGGTAAAATTGAAACCTAATGTCTAGCTGGAAAATAATTTAATTAGTGGAGGGTTAAAAAGACACATGTTAATATATGAGTGGAAGTATCACCTGATGATGTGGTGATACCGTACCATTCTATAATTTCTCGCTTTGTAATACTTTTTAATCAATTTTTTTTTTCTTCTTTCTCTTTCCTATTGTACCTTTAACCCTACATTAATTTCTTTTTACTTCACTTTTATATTATTTCTTTTTCTTTATACTTAATTTTCCTACTTACACTCCACTTTCAGTGTTTTTTTTCCTTTAATCGAGTAAAGAAATAATTAACACTTATATTTGTCTAGGCAAAATTACATGGTCCACCTGCAAAAACTCATGCCCCATGAAAAAACCTTGCATCCATAGTTTTTTCTTCTTTTTTTAAAAGGAAACAAATTTTAGGTGGCTACAAAGAAACATAAATGCATCTAACTACACATTTTTATATTTTCTTTTTGCATGTTCTTCTCTGTCATAACCTTTCGGAAAACAGATATTGAATGAAATTGATGAACTTGTGGACATGAATTGAGTTCTCATAATTTTGAAAAATGAAATTGAGTTTGAGACTATGAGTTTCAAATTCACATTAATGGAGTTATCTTTGTTTCATATGAGATCATTTCATACATTCATTTTGTTTGAGTACCTTCTCAGGAATTACAAACGACCAGGGATTGAAGAGAAAGAAAAAAAAAAAAGGGAAAAATATTCTTCTCATAGAAATAATTCGGGGCATTCCAAGTATGTAGGGGAATCCAAAAGCTTGGGTTTTATTGTTCTGTTACAGTGATGATTGAGAAATGCAAAAGCGTGGGTTTTGTTCACTTTCATTGATTGAGTACCCATATCAAAACTTTAATGTAGGGTGAGGGTAGATTAGGAAAGAGAAAGAACACAAAGGAACAAAATTGATTCAAAGGTATTAAAAAGCAAAATAGAGTGTAAGTGGAGAAAAGGATAGTGAGAAATATCCTAATGTATGATATAATAAAGGCGCTTATAGAGTGACGAATCCACCCTTGGACGTCATGAAAATGGTTATCAAGGTATAGTTGTGTTACTTGTTCAACCCATTGGAGGAACGCCTACCACTTGTTTAATGAGAAGCTCCAAAGAGCTCCCCTATTTCAGCAGTAGATGCTGCACATTTTATTTATCCTTATCTTGGTAAAATACTGGGCAAAACAACGTCGTTATGGCCCACACAATTTTTTAAAATAACCTGGCTCAAAATGACCAGGATTTTAAAAAAATTGTTTTCTTTTCTTCTCCCCAAGCCCACCCGATATTCATTCCCCAAAACTCCAACTTATATTATTCTCTCCTCATACCTAACCACAACCCTCAACCCATACCCCTCCTCTTCCCTTGTTGTCGGGGTGTTGCCGCAATCCACGACCTTCTGTGTCGTCACTGAAGGGTTGCCGAAACTTTTTGGATCCGCCATTGTGCCTATATTTGTTTTTTGATCAAAGAGAAACTTTATTAGATAAACTTCAATAGTACAATTAAAGACATTAAAATGACATCTGGTGTGTTTACTAATCATGAATTGAAATTCGAATCAGGAACTGAATTCCAGCTATGGAGGATTCTCGTGTTTACTTCACATCAAGGAATTAAAAAGTAAGTGGAGCCCATACAAAAGTAGGAATTGAATTCCTGATTTTGGAGGAATTAAATTCTTGGGTGGGATGTGGTATTTTAATTCCCGAAGAACTAACCCATTAGAAATTCATTTTCTTTTACCCATTATATCCTCACAACATTTTTAAAATTCCAAATTTGTCATCTTCTTTAACACAACAACGAGGACATTTTAGTAATTAGTACCACTTCTACCCCAATTCCATATTGTTTAGTAAAACAACTTCAATAGGCATCCGAAATCTAGTTATTCTCAATCCAACTCTTCCTCAATTTAATTCATCCTCAATTCAATTCCTCCTAATCCGATTAGGGATTAGTAAACATGCCACTAAAGTATCGATCTCATGAGAGTCACTCTGCTTATATGAGCTTTTCATTATTTGATATTTCAAAATTCAAATATATATATCCAAGCGTTTGATTGTAAACTTAAAACACTGTCATTTTAACAAGTATAATAAGAGTATGGTACAACATATTCACATTAAGAGATTTGAGAATTTCGACCAGAAGAAAAAAAAAAAAAGACTTGAGAATCTTTCCTGAAAGAGGAACAAGAGTGTTAAGGGACGAGAAGTCACTCATTCTTCTTTGGGAGATTCACTATTATACCAAATATAGGAGCACAAGTTATAAAAAAAAAGCCGTATATGAAATGGACTTTAGAAACACACCCAAAGCCCATTTACAACATAACAAAAAAACTTTTAACTTCTTTTAAATTACAAAACTATCATTAGTTTTCTAAAACAAACTCAACCCCAAAACCTCATGAAAAAAAATCCAAAACAATAGGGCATCAAAGTAATTTAATAATCAAAATTAAATTTAATAGGGCTAGCTGTCATTTTTTGGGTTTGTTTTTTGGAAATTAAATGGTGTAGAATTTATCTATATTATTAGTGCTAATAATAAATATATAACTAAATATCTTTCCTCGTTTTTCCATCACCTGACGTGGACTCCATCAACGATGCCAAAAATCTTAGATCTCAACGGTCAATCCACAGCTCAACAGAGAAACTACTAGAACCTGTTATCATGCTGACCGTCCCACCACACTATCACACGTGGTACCACTCAGCTTGCGACAACACCAACTCCAACAGGAGACACCCGTAGACAATCCTAGCTCCCACTCGTCCCCACACTCCAATCCAAGCCGCATAGGGAGAGTCCACATTCGGAACGTTCTCTGTCTATAAATACACGAGGTGTCGGCCCAATAAATCTCCCTCTTTCTCTCTCCTCTCTCTACACCGTCGCGTAGAGCTCCCACGCCAGCTCTATCCCTCCCTTTCATGGCGGCGTCCCAGGCGAGCCTTCTGCTTCAGAAACAGCTCAAGGGTATTTCAAAAACTTCAATTCAATCAATTTTTTGTGTGTAAAGCATTCATCTTGGGTCCTATTTTTGATTGGTTTATCGGATTGGATTCTTCTACCAGTTCGTTTGGTGAATCTGATTATCTGTTTTGGTTATGGCAGATCTTTGCAAGAACCCAGTAGACGGGTTCTCGGCCGGTCTGGTCGATGAAAACAATATCTTTGAGTGGAGCGTCACGATTATCGGACCGCCCGATACGCTATAGTATGTGCCTTTTCTTATTATTTTCCGCTTCAATTTTTGTGCCTTTCTTGATTGGGTTTTGTGGTTTAACTGTTGTGCATAAGATGATCGATTTCGGTGGTTATTTATGTCTTTGGGTTGGATTGGATCGAGGGTGATTGAGATTCTTGTGATTCTTGTTCTGTTAAATTCAATTTTGTTTTGGGGATTTTCAATTTGATTGTAGTTTTCTCAATTTTGTGTTTGACTTTTAAAGTTGAAGTTGAGGTGGCAGATTTAGGGTTTTGCCCTAAGATGGGATTTATCTGAGCTTGTGATATGATTCTCTTTAAAGTTAGAAATTGTGAAAGTTCCATATTCGGAAGTTAGTCTTCAGTTACAAATTGCTTAGTTTGGTTCTTAGGGTATGTGAAGGTAAAGGTGAGGACTTTTAATTAGTTGCACAGTTAGACTGGTTTTTTTTTTTACAAATTTCCTATATTTGGAATGTGGTTTTTCAAATTGGGCACAGTATTGGTTTCAGCAACGTATTTTGTTTGTATTATTTCGTTACTTTTATGGATGGGAGTATCTTCTGTTTTCGCTAATAAGCAGAGCATTTATTTGGAAAATTGCCATTCACTTGAGATTTGTTGTGGCATTTGAAGCTGTGAGTTGTGTCCATATCACATTCATCATTACATATAATCTAATTCGAATTAATCATTACATGTTACCTAATTGCAGTGAAGGGGGATTCTTCAATGCCATCATGAGCTTTCCTAATAATTATCCGAACAGCCCTCCGACGGTTAAGTTTACTTCAGATATATGGCATCCCAACGGTTGGTTTCTATCCTAAGTATGTATGTTTGATAGGTTGCACTTGTTATTAGAGGACTGATCCTGGTTGTTGTCTATTTGAAGTCTATCCTGATGGCCGTGTTTGCATATCAATTCTTCATCCTCCTGGTGAGGATCCAAATGGTTATGAGCTTGCAAGTGAGCGCTGGACGCCTGTCCATACGGTATGGTATTACGTAAAATAGTGTCCACATGTATCACACTCAACTCTAATCCTAAAAATACCCATAACTCAAAATCTTTAGAATGAGAGCGGAAGTCATAAAGCTAAAAACACTATATATATATATATATATATATATTACGTATAATGGTAGTAATTTCTCTTCACTAAGGTAGCTGGAGAGATGAGAGACCAAAGTCATAAGCTGAGTTTATGAGTTGTCTGATCATTATCAATACATCACATGGTTGTTAAATCTATCAAGTCTTGTGCCTGAGGCTCACCCTAAGGTTCAATAAAAAGCATTTGATGTCTTAACTTGGGGATATTCTTGTGTATAATATATTACTGAAGGGCTTGTCTCCAAGGTATCATAACATGCTGTCATTAGGCAAGTTTCCAATTTTCCTTCCTGCTGCTGGTCAAAATTTGTGGTTTTGCTGCTATATATTGTTTGTGAAGCAACTTGGTAAGTCAAGGTGCTCGTGAAACAAAAAAACTAAGTAGATGTTAATAAACATCTCATCTTTCTGTTTTATTGTTTAGTTTTATTAAAACAATAGTACTGCATTAACAAACACAGAAATGTTGTATCCAGGTTGAAAGCATAGTTTTGAGTATAATATCAATGCTATCCGGTCCGAATGACGAATCTCCTGCAAATGTTGAAGCTGCGGTAAGTGATCCCTTGTTCAATTGTCAAAACTCTTTTCTCTTTCTGAACTATCCTCTACTTCATGCTGATTATTATAACTATGCCCCGCATGGATGACCAAAATTTTATTGAAAAGCAATATGTTTCTTTTGTGTCAGTTGTTCATATGTTAGAAATGGACATGATTGTACTGTTCAGTGAGATTGTCAATTTTGGCAAAGTTGCAGATGATAGATTTGTATCTTAATGAATTCTTCTATTCCTATAAGACAAATTAGGTTTATGTGCAAAGCACCTTGTAAAAATTAAATTGGATTGTATCTTGTTAAGAAGATATGTTGGTTTGAGAGATATGATGTGTGGATGTAGTTTGCTCATCTGAATCTGGCCATTGGGATGGTTGGGAGAAGATTTAGGCTACTACACTAAACCATTCTTTATGTGTACAATGGTGTGCTGTGGCAAGAGATTTCGTCATGTTTCTGTTTTAGGATCGTGGTGTTGATCAAACAAGCCCTAGTTTCCAATTTGTTGACTGCTTCACAAATGGAAAATTGGAATCTGTTTTTAACTTACCCTCAAAACTGATATGTAGGCTGATTGTAGTTGTAATTTTTTTAAGCTAGTTTTCCTTTTTATTTGTGCTTTTGTTTTTGTTTTGTCTGTTGATAATTTAGTTAACTACCGTACCTTGCATCTTCTTTCTCTTGCACATTGTGTTAGTAGCTGATGTTTAAGTGCAAACCTCAATTAGTAATGGCGCATGAGTGTTGTACTTGTCTAAGTATTCTAAGATGGAATTTAACTTAGTTCTGCATCGACTATTCTAAGATTGTGTTGGTATTATGCATATTGCAGAAGGAGTGGAGAGATCGGAGAGACGATTTCAAGAAAAAGGTGAGCCGCTGTGTGAGAAAGTCACAAGAGATGCTATGAATGAATATGACGTGCTACCAAATGAAGCATTTTCTCTTCTCTCTGCACAAGTGTGTCGTCAGAGAGGATGTGTTAATTGGCAAAGCCTTGGCCCTTGTAGAATGCCATTGATTTTCTCACTTTTAAAAATATCTTCATTTCTTTTTGTTCTTTGTTTTTGTTTTTGTTTTTTGTTTTTTGTTTTTTGTTTTTTGTTTTTTGTATTTGTTTTTCTTCTCATTGTCTAGTAATTGTCAAAACGTGGAACATCTTTGTATTCAATTAGTATTTGCCCATTGGATGAGGAAGTGTTCTTGTCTGGTGCCCTGCCTAGCTCACCTGTCAGCAGATGTGTGGGTTTCTCGTGGGCCTCACGAGTCTCACAGACGGTGCAATTGCAGCACTTACGGCAAAGGGCATATGATATGGCCTAAACCAAAAAGTTTAGAATGGCTAATCAAGCTGCCCAAGCTGCAGCAAAGGTGTCAAATGCGAGGGTGAGTAACGTCCGATGGATGTTGCAACCTCCTCCCTCTCTTTTTTCGGTCCTGTCACGCGATGGCCTTCCCTGCCCACGCTATCTTTACGACTAGTGTGTCTTGCCCCTTCTTTTATATATGAGATAGCACCTGTTTTGCTTCTCTGTAATTGCTTGGATGGTGTAAGCTTTTGTTTTGTTATCGTGTACTGTTTCCTCCCCAGCTTTTGGGTGAGAGTTTGCTATGAAAGAATTCCTCTTTCGACCAAAAAAAAATATAATAAATCAAAAAGTTTTTGCTTTACACATTCATATTTTACTTTATTTACCGAAAAAATTCAGTTGACCTGAATTGCACCAAACAACTTCAAAACACTTAGGTAAGGTCCATCAACTTCACCAATGTTTGTTCAAATCGTCATAATTGTTTTCCAATACGAGTAAATTTTGTAACCTGTATGTTGTGAGACTTTAACAGGTATAACTGGGAAAATTGTACACAATGCATTGAAAACAATTACGAGAAGCAGCTGGAAGTTGGAAGGAAATGAACCTTTGACTCATATTTATCTCAAATTTGTACTCAAATCTAGGAAAATACTATTATTAGTTCATTTATTCATAATTCATGGGCACCCGTGGAACTAGCTAGCTGTGTCCTTATTAATTTGCAGCAGCAGCAGCAGCCGCAGGAAGGAAAGATTAAGATTGTGAATCCTACTTTGTTGTTGGTGGGTTGACGTAGCTTCCCAACCTGACCACGATCCCATCAGGATCTCGTACATACCCCACTTTCTGTCCCCACTCCTTCTCTTCTGGCTCACTCACCGCCACCGCCCCATTCTCTACTGCCCTCTGCAGTAAGAGATCAGTTGCAGAAAGTCATGAGTTCAAATCTTCTGAGGATAATTGGTAATTAAATCGAATGGAAAAGAAAACCACATGGGCAAACTGGAATTGACATGGTACCAAACTGGAATTGACAACAACAAAAAGTTATTATGTATGATGCTTACTTTGTAGGCAGCATCAACGTCAGGGTAGGCAAAGCAAACCTCAACCGGCTGCCTCTCACGGCCAGAGCTTGGGGTTTTAACTGCACCCGTCAGATCATCCGTCTCGTGCTGGTGCACCGGCGTGAACGCTATCGTCGTTTGCCCACTTTCTAACTCCCCCCATCTAACACAATCATCATCATCATCATCATCAAAGACTATATTCTATCAACAACTTTAAATACAAATAAATATAAAAATACCTGTTAGAGTCGTCTATACGACGAATGTTGTAGCCGAAGGCTTCGGAGTAGAAGGCTGTGGATTTAGCAACGTCCTTCACGTACACCACCGTGTAAGCAAACACTGTGTTCATCTTCGACCCCGTCGTCGCCATTTTTATTTCTTAATTAATTCTTTCAGCAATTAATTTATTAATGGCTTTTCTGATGAACGGCGATCCATGTTTTTGCGCTTTTATTCAGGCGCTTTCAGTTTCTGTTTCATTCTCTGGTCTTCCATCATACAAGTACGTGGCGAGTTGTCGAAATTCGGGGAAGTGACACGTGGAGTCATTGCATGTTGTGAGTAGGAAAAATGCTGTCACGTGGATTTAGTACAAGTGTCAAGTACTGTCCTGTCTCTTGACCAGGATTTGCTTTTGGGCCAAGGCGGGTAACTCTCACGATATATTAGGGCAACACACAATACAATGTTTTGTTATAGACTTTCATTTTTCTTGTAATTTTCAATATAATATACTATGTGGAATATCAAATTTGATGGGAGAAGTCACAAAAAGAGTTTAACAAAACAATGAGATGAGAATTTTTGATTGAATATTATGTAAGTCTAAATGAGGTGGAATTAGATTGAGATGAGAATACTATTCCCGCCCCACCTCGAACACCATATTCGAAAAAAATTTCAAACCCATCTGCAAATTCAATTTATATCCTTCATATCCGATTCATTAAGATCGAAAACCCTAACCCCTAGGAAAAATTATCATCCCCACTACAATTCATCAAGAAAACTCGCCGTGTGGTTCGTGATTCGGCGATTCACGAAACTCTTACCATCACTTTGAGTTTGACAGCCAAAACAGTCACCACACAGTTTAAAAGTTACCCACCGCACACGTGTCAACTAATGTCTGCATGTCACGTGCGAAAAGCTCTACCTGCCTCTCTCTCATTCATTCGGGTTTGTTCCTTCGTCCTCCCCCTGCTACTGCTACTCAATAGCGATGGAGATCGAACTCATATTTATATCCCAACCAAAAATCCACACATTAATTCGAAAAGGCTTCCCTACAAAATATCCTTTGATCGCTTCTTCCGATTCTCAGAACCGCCAAATGCTCCCAACCCTAGCTCATCCAATTCCAGCTCTCTTTCTAAGATCGCGATCGAGCACAATCTCCAGATCGCTAAGATTTTGAGGTGAGAACTGAGAACTGTTTCTTTGATTTCGAGCTCCAATTATATTGTTTTCATTTTCAATTTTATAGAATAGGTCGCAATTGAGATTAGATTGGCCTTTGAAGGAATTCACACACTGGTTATCAACTTATCAGTGTTTGGCTGGTAAGAAATTGAGAGAAAGCGGAGAGGGAAAAGAAAAGAATTTTTTTACTGAAATGAATCGGAATGAGTAAGAATTACTTATCGCAACCGTGTTTATTTACATATTTGCTAAATACATCCTCCACCACCAATTGCAGGTGGTTTTCCTTTTCCGCACAATGGGAGACACTTCGCGTAGAATCCCTCAAGAGGCCAATGTTGCTATGACTGGTGGAAAAAAGAAGTCGCATGATCATATAGTTGCTTCTCGCCCCAACGCCTCTTTGCAGCGCATTAATTCGCTTCGAATCGGGAATGGAGCTGCGAGCCAGGTGGCATTGTTTTTGCTCAAAATGGCCGCATTGGAGACAGTAAGGAGGTTCTCAAAGGCCAAGTGCCCTTGGGCATGGCGTGGCTTTCAGGCTTTGCAATTTCTGTGCTATCCACCGTTCAAGTGGTTTCAACGATTTGCCCCCTTCAAGGCTTTGGTCAATGGCATGCAGGTCAAATTCTTGAAGTCTTTGTTTTTCTTTTTCCCATTATTGTCATATTTCTACCACAATTTAAGAACCCAGAAAAAGGTCTTGTGGGATTTACACTACTACTTCATATTCTTGGTTTTTGCGTATTTGGATGGAACTTTTTGATTGCCAAGTTCTTTTTACATGAATCATTATGTGGGAGATTTGATGTGGTTGCATGCTTCCAGGTAGTTTCGAAACCATTACTAGTGCTCTCCATTGCAACGGCTTTCTCTGATGAAGCTGAGCTCTTTAATAGAACCTCTGATGGCATCAACAATTCTGATGCATGTTCAGAAGTGGACTCAGAAGTATCCTCTGAGTGTATCAACGATTCTACTTTGGATACAAGGTAATAGAAGAAATGAACTTTTCAGTTTCTGCACCTGATTCATTATCTGACACCTCATCAATTCATTTTGTGAGTATGCTATAATAAGGGGTCAACTGTTCCTTATAACTTTGTATTTCAATAACATCTCCTAGCTTTGGTCAATTGGATTTGTGAAAATAATGGTTCTGCTTGCTAAATGAATAGTCATTTTAAATGTCCAAAAGCAATGGGAGTTACTCATATTGTTATTGATTTGGAAGACCAATTTTACTGCTTTCATCAGGTTTCTTTTTTCTTCAAGGGTTTATGATCAATTTTACTGCTTATGTAATGCACAGGATTCCTGATGAATTTCCTCAAAATGTACAACCTGAAATGTGGTTGACACAACTCCACAAAGAGCTGGAAATACAAGGGATTACATTGCCAGAAAGGTGATTTAATGCATGTGCCATTTTTTGTTTCCTGATAGTTATGTGCCAAAAATTCTAACTCTGTATATAACATGTGCTAATATCCAAACACAAATTTTACTTGAAACCTTTCTTTCTCTTAATAGGTTTATGAAATTTTGTTACAGTTTTGTATGCCTCTACAATATTATTTTGTTTGTCTTCTTATGTTCCCTTGGCTTTAACCTCAAATTAAAGGGTGGGGTTAGGGTTGAGGTTGATCTTAGTTAACAAATTTCATCAAGAGAAAATAAAATACTTACACATGGGTATCATTTCCTATATTTGTATGGAATTCTCTTAATCTTGTAGATGAATTATGTTCACCAACATCATTATCTTATGAATACCTCCCAGTTGCATTATCCGCTCTGCTTTACTTCTTGGCAAATGATCATTTTCACTTGGTAGGGTTGCTTCAAAAATAAAATTCTGCACCCCTGTCGTAATGTTATTTTCTTACATTTCTCTCAAAAAAGGTTTAACCTTGTTCTGAGGTTTCACCTATTGTTTTGTTCTACTTGCCTATATGCATGAACTTCTTTGCTTCTTGTTGCAGCAGACCATGACATGCTAATGTTTATGCAGAATTGATGAGGAGGAACTTCGCAGGTTTTACACTGCTGCAAACGGAGACTTCTCTTGCTTGCTATCTTCAATAAAGAAGACGATCAATTGGAGGGAGACCTATGGAATTCTTTCTGTACAGGAGCTTGAGATGTGGTCAAATATGGTTTTCTGGCATGGATTTGATGTGAAACACCGACCTTGCCTCATTGTACGACTTGGGCTAGCTTGCACCAGCTTGCCATCTCATGATAGACCACGCTTTGCTCAAGCAATCAGTAAGTTTATTTGCCCCCTCTAATAAATTTACTTGGTTCTCCCGTTGAGCCACACCTATTGCTGTGAGATGGATCTGTTCAGATCTACTCAGAATCGCTCTTATTCAGCCCTTTGTTTATTGGAGCCCATCTGATTTATCTGAGGATTTTTTCCCCTCTTTCTTCAATGTGAATTGGAGCCTCCTATTGAGCATAACAAACTGAATGTATTGATAAGTATCTAAGTGCTTTCAGCAGGACCATTAAGAAATGGCCTGTATATTCAGTTAATTAACTTTAAGGCTTGATTCTTTAAATTACTGAAGCATTATTTACATTAGCTTGCTCTAAAATATAGTTTTTAAGTGTTGTGGTCATGCTTGATTTACTATATTCGGTTTCATCAAGTGTGCAATCCTCAAAATTATTTGGTGCTAATGACGAAGGGAAATTTTCACAGGGGGTATGGTTCATTTGAAGTCTTAAGCAGTCTATCTCCTTTGTGGTCTTGTAGTATATAATGCATGCTTATTTTCATGTATATCTTATCCATTAC